TAAAAATTAGAGCTAAAACGAAGAAGTTATGAATTAAATAAGTTTTCCTTTAATAAAATAATAGATTATATCTAACCTTGAATTTTAAAAGTTGAAAACATACTTAACGGTAGTATAAACATGTAGATTTTGGAATTACGAACCTAACGCGAGTTGAACGGATCAAATCGGAGTTAAAACGAATATTTTATGGCCTACTAAAAGTAGTGGCTGTTTTGTAAACAGATGAAACTTGATTTTCGAATTTGAAATAATTAAAATTCGATTTTAAACCGAACCAGGGACTGTGGCCACAATTTGAAGAAAAGGCAGGAGCTTTTTAACAAAAGTTCAGGGACGGTAGGTTAAGATCCAAATAATTGTAAACGCCTTCTTGCAAAATGACAAGCGAAGGGGTACGGGTGAATCTGGACCGTTGGATTTAAAATCAACGATGCAGATAAGATGGGAGCGGGGGAGAGGCTGTCGGCATGGTCGTCGACGAGCCTGGCGGCGGCGGCGCCATGGCCGGCACGACGGCGTAGTCGAATCTAAGCCTACGGTCCATGAACTCACGAGCCGAAGACACCGAAGGATAGAGGAAAGCAAGGTGAACTCACCATGGTAGCTAGCGTCGGCGGTGGAGGCACGGAGAAGGCGCGGCTCTCGGCTCGGTGGATGGTGATGTCGGCGGCGCTAGGGTTGTGCGGTGCTGTGTACCGGCGATTCGGCGAAGGCTACTGCTAGCGCTTGGACGGAATAGAGAGGCGGCGGGGTCGGCTACTATTTATAGCCCGGGGATTGCTTGGGAGGCACGACGAAGACAAAAACATGACCGGCGCGGAGTTGAGCGGCGGACTCCAGCACGGATACGCGGGAGAAATTTAGACACCGGCTCAGGGAAGAAAAACAGTGCGGGCTCGGTTGGACTGGGCCGGCCTGCTGCGGAGGAGCGGAAACAGCGTTCCGGCCCCAGCGGTGAGAAAGCGGTGCGCCGCTGAAGTAACTAGGGCGCGGGGCGCGGGAACAGGAACAGGCCGCGCTGCTGCCAGCTGGGCCGAAGCAGAAAGAAGACCGAGCAGAAGAGTGGGCAGGCCGCACGGGAGCTGGGCTGCACGGACCGAATTACAGAGATGGGAAGAATAGAATCCTTTTCTATTTTCTAAACTAATTTCCAAATAAATCTTGAATGCAAATTCAAATTAATTTAAAATTCGATTTTAAACCACACAATACAAAAATAATATGCAGTAGCATGTATGCACATACATGTATGTAGACCTATATTTGATTTTAATTTTAACAAAGTTATTATTTTCTAAATTTCAATGCTCACAAAATACGTAATTAAATTATTTTCTCATATCTGAAAATTATGCAAATTTTAGGATGTTAAAGCTACCTTCGTGCCATTGTTCCTTCTCCAGATCTGGAACGGATGGTGGACCGGGTGCAATGTACAATTGGGAGTGAGGAACGGATGGTGGACCGGATGCAATGTACAATTGGGAGTGAGGAATAATTCAAGAAAGTGCTGTTGCTTTTCAAAGCTGTTTATATTAACCATATTTGACCCCGGTGGTATCCCCACGCCTCAGGATTGTTTTTCCTCTTGACATTTGTGATATGAGGACATAGATGTGACCTGAGTTCATTCATGTCCCAACATACGTATACGAGTTTCTTAATTTTGCTCCCCAGTGCTGCGTTGTGGTATTGGATTCTGCCCATGCATGGGTGGTTCTCGATTAAATGGCATATATACACGGCCGTATGTGGTTTGTGTACACGCACTTTTCCTTAGATAGTAACACATATGTAGTTTAACAAAAAATTCTTTAGTTAATTAGTCATACGTGATCAAAATCTTAAGGCCGTACACTACTACACAACACATAATTCCTGCTGGGTTATAACATTGCCGGGTGTGCATAAGCTGCCAGTGATGCAGCTTCACTATCGGTTATAAGCCTAGGATTTAGACAAATATTTCTAATCCGAGTGACCTAGATAATAAAGCACCTTATCACTGTCGGGTTGAGCCACGACTCAGCAGTGATATATTGCCAGCTAGATCCATGAACCCGTAGTAATATCAGGAATATCACCTGTCAGGTCAGAACACAACCCCACAGTGGTATGCCAATGCCGGGTCATAACTTGACATAGCTGCACTAGCACGACATCACTGGCAGGTTATGGTTTGACCCGGCAGTAGTATTATGTGCCCCGTTGGATCCTCCTACCACCGATTACTCTATGTAGGGGAGGTCTTGCGGCAAAATAGCTCGATGCTAGAATGATAAAAAGCTTAACACTTTTTATTCGACTTTTTCACTATTTTGAAATACGAAAAAGATCCAAATCCAAAATGCAAAGGTAGTCTTATTCAAAACCTCAAAATTTCTTATCCTACTATTGGCCAAACTACGTGAACACTTGGTCCAATGTGTAGGATCTCTTAGCCATGCTTCATAATCGGAAAAATGGGCACCATGGAAGTACATGCCACTCAACCAAAGAAAGATAATGGAGAGTAGGCCGAAATGAGTACTAAAGACTTTTCAGGATATCTCCAAATCACCGGTATGACTATCGAAATCGTGAGCAACAAAACAATATTATCATGCCAATGGGAGTGGCGTGACAAGGTTTTTAATGTGAAAATCGTCGTCCAACATGACGGATCTTGCCGCGCCAAAACATGTGGCATGACAACATGATTTTGTCGTGCTAGGAGTGTTGACGTGATGAAAAGGGTTAGAAATTTAAAAAAATGAGTGTGGCTATTTTTAAAATAAAAGTTAAAAAGGATTAAAAATATGAAAATCTGCTGGTGGGTGTGAGAAAGGAGCATTTCTGGAGATGACCAGATACTTACACCCTTTTACATTGTTGTTGCTTGTCGAATATGGTGAATCCACAGTCAAATATAGAACTCTATGATATTCTTCTATTGTAAACTTTCCTTGGCAATGCTCAATGACCGGTGACACGGATTGCACAATTGCATGGTATACGTGCAGACATTGAGCTTGACTACAACTTCGATGATGGCTGGGAGGACTAGTTGATTTTGTCTATGCTCAAGCATATATGGTCATAGATTGGGAATCTGCCTGCTTGGTTGCGACGGTTCAACTAAGTCAAAGTGGACCTGTAATAAAGTTATGTAATGAACGTAATTTCTTGATGTACTCGGTTTGTACTCTAGAAGTGTTCAATCTATGATATTTTGCACTCTATGACGAATGTTTGGATGTGTGGCACAATGGATGAATATGATAACTGACGAGACCTAGAACTATCGTATAGGTGCAAAGTGGTCTCAATTTTCGTTGAAAAATCCTGCTTTCCTAGCTAGATGCATTTATATGTTGTGCTTTTGATCCATATGTTGGATGCACTTGCATTTTATTCGAAGCAGTGTGGTATTTCTTACGTTCACAGATAAATCCACAAGCGCACGGAATACCGATGTATCAATTTGTCAAGAGTATTTCAAGTATTGTATCCACAGGGAAACGTATGAGATTAACAATAGACTATCTTAACTAGGGATAGCAACAAGGTTAAAGATAAACATGAGTATAGAGATGACTTATAAGGTTCTTAACTTCTAACTTTAAGTAGAGTTGTATTCTAGTGTTCACTTGGAGACATTACTAAGGAGGAGCATAGCAAAATATAACTTCTTCCGTCGCAACCGGGTCTTACTTGGCCTACAGACATGAGGTGGACTGTAGAGGATCAACGAAACTGTCACTCTCGTAATCTACCACACGTTCCAGAATGCAGGGTGCATCCACGAGTAATTGAAAGTCTATGCACCACGCTTATACTAACGATTACTATTTTAACCCCAACATCAAGGATTAAAGCACCCAAACGAGTCATGATCCTGATGAACGCAAAGAACACAATACTTACTTTGGACTAGAAATCAATTACCAGAGATGTCTCAGACGCAAGCTCGAACAGAACCAGAATCAGCCAAGGTACAAGTCAAAGAGAGAGCACCAACAATCCCGTTACTTTCTCTAAACTCTCCCCTCACTCTCTATCTCAATATTTCTATGTACAAATAAGAATAGAGCCTACTCTAAAGGAATATTCTCCTATTGAATTGAGATGCCTTCTGGAGGGGGGGTCTAGGGCTTCTTCTATATGGGTCACCCGGCACTCTATGGGCCCATGAATCGATGGCATGGCTCCATTTCGACCCTTCGTTACAAACCGACTTCGCAGCATGGTGGAGATTGAACCTTAAGGTTGTTGGAGGATCCCCGTCCGACGAGTGGCTAAGAGGTGGACCCTAGGGGTCGGCCGACCTACAGGTGGGGTCGGCCGCCCCCCTCTGGCTCCTCTGCCGTCCATCTTCATCATTGACGGTGGATTGGAATCTAGTGGAGTTGGTTTCATCGCGGATAAGCATGATTTGTCGAGATAATATGGCCCACTTCGTCCATTTTCTGGATAAATCCTTCTACATACAAATATTGACCAAGACTCGTGGAAATACTTAGTTTAAACCTCTACTCCTATGTTGGTGATTGATTTTAAGGATAAATGCAGGTGAACTTGACGGTTTATTTTTGTTGTACAAGCAGCCAATGGAAAAACTACTCCAAAAAGAAATATAATAATTTCTAGTATTTTAGAATAGATTAAGAAAAAAAAGAGAAATGATTGTGGCGCCTTTCAATAGGTAGATGCAATTAACACCTGCCCTTAAAGAGATAATAGAAATAGCATGCACTAAGTGTTTTCTAAATACCAAATTACATTGACACAAATAAGGAAACTAATTATTATTGACAAGGAATATGTGGGTAGATTATGCTAGAAATGCTTACATTTGTAGGCAAATTTCGAATGCTGCTAGAAATGCTTACATTGTGAATGGAGTTGAGAAAGTGTATCCAATATTTGGGTTTGGATAGTCACCTACGCAGGCCAGAGCAACCACTATAAATATTGAATTTGCGTATGCTCTTTTTCTCACACCAAATTTAATAGCCATGGCATGCAACAAGAAAGTAGTGCTTGGTCTCTTTACCCTGGCCTTGTTCCTCGTAGCGCATTGTAAGTAAAACAGTCCTTGTTGTTTACAGTGTTTAAGAAAATAGTAAAGAAAAAACTACCACCTCAAATTGGATACTTCGCAACATGCCTCTTGCATCATGCATCAACCTTTATCATCTTTGGAGCGAGTATTGCTAACCTATGTCCTCCTATTTTAAATTTTATTATGTATATATGTGCCTAATTAACCACCTAGCGATCTATAATCATATGCGTAGACGCAGAGGCGGCAGATGTGTGCATGACGAGGAACTGGTATTTCTATGGCCCGTGCATGAGCAACAAGAATTGCGCGGCTTCGTGCATCCAACATGACATTGGCAGCGGTGGGTACTGCTCCTCCTGGAGACGAATATGCAAATGTACCCTTCAATGTCCTTGGAGAAAAACAACGCTAGCCGGAATCGAGTTGACACACAGCGGGGACAAGCCGAAACCCTTGGACATGCCTAGGACGGAACTATCCAACTGAGTGTTACCTATATATCTATATGCAGTTGATTGATGGAATTGAATAAGAGAAGAACACATGTAGTCATGTTGTTGTAAGCAATAATTGCACAAAAATAATTAAGAGATGATGAACAAAACTGGCAGTATTATTTTTGTTGTGAGCATCTGCTGCTGAGCCATAAGGCCCCTAGTATATCTCTTTAACTATTCCACTAACGAATGTGGCACACCCTTCGTAAACGTAGAAATTTTGCCCTAAAGGCACTTGCCCTCACGTGCATCATTAATTATTGATGCATATGAAGATGCATGTGTAGGAGTGAGAAATCTAAATCTTGCTGCACACTCCTCATGTGCATCTAATTGTACATGCACATGAGGCATATGCTCTTAGGAAGGAAAATCAAAATTACCCGCTCTTTGTTTCAATCTGATCGTATTGGTAGCTTGCTGGTTTTGGTCACTGAGTCTGTCCGGATAACCTAGCAGACATGCAAAACTCCATAGCATCCCAATAACCAAATAGACAGTCCATGAAAAAATGAAGGTACATGGGCATCGCTTGTGGTGCACCCACAGGCTTCGGTGTGGCCTTATCTTCATGAGCATTCTTCTAGTGCCTTTGTTGCATAGTCTCTCCTGCGCTAGAGACGGTAGGAGGATGCACATGGAGATCCTTCTCCCATCCTAAGGGCTCCTTCATTCCCAGTGGTATTGAGGAGCATGGCCATGCTACACCTTAGGCTTCACTGGCATGGCTTATTTATAAAGTTTTGGCAGAAGGTACATAGTTGGATCTGACAGTTGACGACTCATGTATGTACTCGAGGTAGGTGCATTGAATGGCAAAAGAAAAACAAGGACTAAGATCAAATTATCTGACCACGGAACATTGCCGATTTTAAGTATGACCGATAATGATGGGCATGCTTCACTACCGGTTTAAAAGACTGCCAACATTGATCTAAGGGTAGCCATGCATTTATAGATAACTAAAATTTCATGTCCCACCACTATCATTTCATTATCCCACCACATGCCCCTTACTCCACCGCTGCTGCTACTTCTCCAGCGATCACCACTACCCCGAGGAAAGCTGTTGCCCCCCTCCCCCATCCCCCGTGCCGCCCCAAGGATTGCTGCCCCGAGCATCTCCACTGCCACCCTCGAGCTCTACCACCGTCTTGAGGACCACCGCAGCCCCCGTGCTCCGCCGCCCCTAGGACCCCGCGCATCTTCTGAAAAGATGCATCTCACTCAGTTTAGGGCTAGCTAGATATGTGTGGGTACACAAGCCATTTTAGGGTTAAAATCTATTTAATTACCAATGAAAAAGATCGTCAAAATTACCTGTGTGCCACTTATTTGTTCTCAAGATCTGCAACGGATGGACTGTATGCAATGTACAACTGGGAGGGAGGAACGAATGTGCTGTTGCTTTTGAAAGTTGTTGATGTTATTATTCACGTTTGGGAAATCAGGACATAGATGTGACTTCAGTTCATTCATGTCCTAACATACGTATACGAGCTAGTTTCTTGCGTGGTCCTGTGCGTGGTTCTGGATTAAATAGCATATATACACAGCCGTATGTGGTTTTAGTACACACACACTTTTTTCTAAGACGATAATGTCACATATGCAGTTTAACGCAATATTCTTTAGTTAAAGCAAATTATGTTAATTACTCCAGCTTCTAAGGTTCGTGACACTACAGTTATTTATTTTGTACCAACTTTTTGCCATATACATATTGCAACAATCATGAAACAAAGTAAATTAAACACTAGCTATTTGTAGTCGAACTGGTGTCCTAGGCATAATTCTTTTTACTGCTTTTTTTTAGACAAAGGAATAATTCCAGCCTCTACAAAGGTACACAGCCAATCTCTTAGAGCATCTCCAAGAATTCCCAAGAAATTCTTCCCAAAACCATAAAGTTCTTCAACTCGCCAAAAAGTATTGGGAGGAATAAATAAGACCATCTCTAACAGTTCCCAATAATTCACTACTAAAATATAGAAGATAATTTTACATCAGAAATCCTATACTGTAAATTATCCTAACTATTTTTATATATTCTTTGTCTCTTGTACATTGCATCAGAAACTCTTTCCTACTATTTATTCTTTCCACGCCCTTCCACCTTTAATTGGCAGACCGATACGTGCGACTAGCGTCCGCGCAACTTTACGCGCAAGGGGTGGTTTTCTCCCGAGTGTCAAAAGACTGGGAGGTGAGTTTGGGAGTTGTTGGAGATGAATTTTTATCATTCTTCTAAAAACTCATGGATTGGGAAGGATGATTGGGTACTCTTATGCTCTTACAATTTTATTTTACTGCATGAGTCTAAACTCTAAAGTATGTATGTTGTGTTGGTTTGTACTGCATCAGATATTTTATACTTTCCTATCAAACTTTGAATATCAGTAAGTCTAAAATCATCAAACTCAGGCACATGAATTGAAAATAACATCTCACTAGTTTGGGCATGATTGATTCTTGACCACAACTTGCCATGCTGCAAGTTAGGCATGCCATATTTTTTTAGACATATGTTTGGTTCGCTACTGTAACTCGTCACACTTTTTTATTAGCACCCTGTCCCACATGTTATAGACTTATTTTCTTACTCGCCACACTTTTTGTAGTTACCATAGTTTGCCGAAAGTTTAGGTGTGGTAAGTTTTGGCATGAACCATTGTTCTTGGGCAAATTCTCATTATTAATTGAAAAAATAATGACGATGATAAATTGCATGTGCACAAATCAGTTTGAAAAACATTCAGTAAACTGCCATTAAAAACCTAGATTTCACATTCTTCTTTTTAGAAAAATGCAATGCGCTCCAGGAAGGGAAAAAACGATATTGAGTTGTGTGAATACAGAAGAGCCCACGTGAATGCTCAAGCCTGAGCTCGGATGCAACCAACATGATAGATAAAGCTTCAAGAGAAGAACATTTTTTGTCCCTGGAATTGAGACACGTGCGTAAACTAAACCTTACGGCCGTGTTGTCGGTAAACTAAATGTTCGTGGTGGAACTAACCAGCCTGCCTAAGCAGGCTACAAAATAATGATGCGTTTCTAATAGGCAACGTTATTAGTAACTTAATTATATAATATATACAAATGAATTAGTAAATTTAAGTGAATAATATCTCCTTATAGAACTGCTATGTAATTAATCTAAAAATAAACTCTTCATGCATTTAAAAACTGAGGGATAAGGGTATCACATAGCAACGAACATGTGTATAGTTTTCTTTGTAACTGAACATTAGTCAAGTTAGTGCATATGACCTACGTCAAGAATATGCTAGCCGTCTTGTTCATATCAGTGTTTGATTGCACTCAAACGACTAAGAATATATTGAGTTGTCGGCAAGAAATTGAAATAACGCATCCAATGAACCTTAGCTTTGAGATGTTGCACATGCATAGAAAGTATTAACAACATTAGTTACTTGTATCATTACGTGTAAAGACAGCTTAGCATCTTTTGCATATATTCCCATGGAACAATACCAATATTACTTAAGTCACATGTCGTCCTCAATAAGATTGATGCCCTGACCATCTAGAAATACACACAGATATGGCCGGGGGTACACCAAAATGTCAAAGTATGATTTCTCGTGAGGAGATTAAAGGTTCTCAAGTATTTGAGAGAGGATCCATTTATATATTACAAAAAAATAAGTAAAAACTATTATATTTTGACATTATAATCAGTTTTTTCGATGCCACAATCCTGAAAGTATATGTATAGATTAAGGAAATGTGTCTCTTAATGAAATAGCTTTTGCCCCGATAATAAATAGCGGCACTACCAGCGCCCAGACGTCTAGAAAGATGCCCCGCGTCCAGACGCCCGCGGCTGCAGTTCGTTTTCGCGCCCTCATTTTGTGCGTCCACGCGGGAGCCCACGCTGCCCAGACGTCGCCTGCGCCGCGCGCCCCTCCGCTTCCAACACGCAACCCATGTGCAATATCCGATTTACTTTTGAAACATCCAGATGAAACACTTGCAACATACAAAAGAAGACAGACGAAACACATCAAACATGCGTCTGAAACACTTGAAAAAACACATGAAAACAACATTTGCAACATATGTGTGAAACATATGTAACATCTAGATAAAACGCTTGCAACATACGTCTGAAACAGATGAAACATTGGGAACGGACGCTTGCAACATACCTCTGAAACATTTGAAACATATGCAACATGTGCAACATCCCGATCTACCTTTTGCAACATTCAGATAAAATATCTGAAACACTTGAAATATACGCTTGCAACATGCGCTTTCAGCACAATGTCACCTTGCTGCTTGGACGAATGGACACTCGTCATTGTGGAGCTCGACGCTGGCGCGGAGGTCGGTAACGGCGCATGCATCTCGCCAGTGCAACAGCGGCGCGGCCCACCTATAATTCTCCAACACCTGCTCGCGGCCTGGGTTCGCGCCCGTCTACGCGGCCCTATTGCTGCTACTCCAGCGCCGCTGCTCGCTCGGCCGTAGTCGCCCATCGCAGCGCAACCGGCGATGGGGGTGCGGTGTGGTGGGGAGAAGGGCACGACGTGACGCCACGACGGGGGACGGGCGCGGTGGGGGAAGGAGACGTGACGGGACATATGGATGAGCGGCCCGGAAATGCTTGGCCTCGACATGACGGGCAGATGAGTAGAGTGGGTTTTTTTAGAGGCCGGTTCCCCTGCGCCAGACTGGGAGCCACGTACGGACGGGACAAACGTCCGTGGCTGAGCATTTCCGGATAAATAGGGGTGAAGGTATGTTATACATAGGAAGTGTAAATGCATCCCTTAAAAATAAAAATACAGTGATTTATCAACATTCTACCATATATGTATCCCCATATGATACATGTCTATGAACCCATAAGGCAAATGTATTCCTCTAATTTGCTCTAACTTTGCTACTACCAATAAATGAGATCCAATGTTGATGAACTTCTTAGCTATGTGCACAATACAGAATAACTAAAGCATT